CCAGTTGTCTTAGGGAATATTCGATGCCGATTCCACAAAATACAAAAGCTAAAAATCATAAATAGTACAACTTTCTGATGTTCCTTCAGGAAGGAAAATGTGCCAACCCCGCAAAACTGCAAACAGAAAAACTTTTAATAATTTTCTGTCATTTTAACAAAAAACATTTGATCGATAAGTGTTCTAAGAATATTCAACGGGCAAACTCACTGCACTCATACAAGCGGCTTTTCGCGACGAATGTAAAAGCTAAAAGTCATAAATTGAACAACTTTCTGATGTTCCTTCTAGAAGGGAAAAGTGACATACCCACAAAATCAAACAGAAAAAAGGGACAATATAGCTTTTTCGATTAAGATATTTGCCAATTCGTAAATATTGTGACGAACACTGTGCCAAAACGAAATAGAATCGACGATACATTGCCAGAATCAACCAGAGAGCGAATGTTTGAGTGGCGATGTTTTAGCAATAAACTATTATATAATAACGAATAACGAGTAATAAGCCTTAAGCCGTTTGAATTAGAAATTAAGATAGCTATAGCCTTTAAATTGGGACTTCTATTTAACCATCTAATTATCGAATTTTAAAGAGAGTTACTACGTAAACGACTTATAGATTATGCTCATACATAAACATACATATTTACGATGGTTTATTGGCAAAGCTGTTAGAGCGTTCGTTTGTTTTTTCGACACAATTCGGATTTTCTACCAACAACACAATATTGTGTCGCTTTGTCGTCGCGTCAGTTCTTCGACACATTGACTCTTTGACATGAAAGCAAAAAACGTGAGCTTTGGCCATTGGTTGTCCGTGTCAACGGAGATTTCACATGAAGCAGTTAGTGTACATATTTACGAATCGTTAGAAGTCGTCAAATGAGTCGTTAAGCTGGGACGTAGTCAAGTTGTTGAAAGTCCAAAGGGTCAATTCAAAAAAGTACCGGTCGATACAAGAGGTCGTCAATCAGTTGTCAAGTCGTCGAGCTGTCAAGTCGTTATAAGTTGTTTGATCAAATATATTTTGTGTTAATCATAACTTGAATTTTTGAAATCACATTATTAACCTTGTTCACTATTATTTACACTTAATAAACATTAATATTGTATTTTACCAAAAATTCTCATAGTTATAGACATAAGGTGCATGTAGAGAGATATACAAACATCATTTCATATTTATTCACATGCTCACAGAATTATATACATATATGTATTTATATAATATATACTTGTATATAAGCATATGTGTGATCGCTTGATCTTTTCAGACTTTAATGACCAAACAAAGTAAATATTTTATTTATAAAACATATGTATACAAATTAAATATTATGGTAATAGTACAATCTTTACTTTATTATGTATGAAATGTGAATGATACGTCCATAACGGTAAGTGCACGAAATAAAATGCGCACGCAATCAACGATAGATCATAGCGTATTCGAAGTCTCTGCTGGGTTGTCTGCTGGTTAAGCGTACATTTCTTAACATTAGAATTAAGATTACTCTCCTCATTTAACAGTAAAAATGTTCAATTCTGCTATTTTTTAGTTTAAGTTACCATAAAATATTGGTTACATTTATAAAGTGTGAAATTCATGATGAAGATAGAATTGATAATATATAGACTTAAAATAATTGAAAAACGGATTAAAATGAGTTAACGATTATAAAATATTGTTTTCAGTTTTTAAAGTGAAACTCTTTAATATGTGTATATCATCTAAATAATTGTTAAGTATTATGTATGTCGTACCCTAAAACACAGAGTTCAATGAAAATATTAGTTGGAGACCTCGTCTACTTTCATCATTTCCCATTTGAATAAATAATCACCTATGGTCGCCACTTACCGCGCACTTAATTTTCGGAAAAAAAGTGATACCGCAAAGTTGGTTTTTTTTTAAGATTTATTAATTTTATTAACTACCTGGTGATGCTATGACGAACGCTGTGTTGACAGTGATGCTACAACGAACGCTGTGGTCGGTTTGAAGTGTAAAAAGGAAAGGGAGAGTCTCGCTCTTGGGCAGTTCGTTTCGATAGTTGGGTAGTGTAGAGTTGTGGTGTGATGTGATGTAAGTGTGGGGGTGGTCTGCGTGGTGTTTGATGTCTGCATGGGTGGTGTCTGTTTATGTGTGTTGTCTTCTAGTGGATTGTGTTGATGTGGTGTGTTGGCGCTCAGAGGCGTGCCTTGAGGAGGAGGCATAACTCATCTAACCATCCCGGCCCCCCAGGCGAATACTAGCCCAGCAGTCGCTGTATTCGCTGCAGCGTGCCGACCACGCTGCTGAGGCCAGTGGAGCGGCGATATGATGGCCTGGGCTGCCGTCGCTGCGTAAATGCCTCATTTCGCCCCGGTCGGCATCGGCGGATTGGTCGTTATTTGCGGTTTCGTTATTATATGCGGTTGGCAGAAAACATAATTTCGCGAACGGTCTTGTTAGCGTTTCGATTCGACTACGGAGATCAACTACTCGTATATGACCGTCGGAACCGTTATATAGTTTTTCTATGAGGCCAAGCCGCCATTTTGTGGGGGTAGACAATCATCGTGTATGATGACACAATCTCCAAGCTTTGGCGCCTTTTCTGGAGCTTTCCATCGCTACTTTTTATGAAGGTCCTTTATATACTCTTCCTCGATTTACCACGCCACGCCTGGCTCAGGTATGCGCAGAAAGGATTAATAATGTTGTGAATTCTTTATAGTTGAACTTTATAGTTTCCAGCTACTTTTTTTAAGTTGGATTTGAAGCTTTTCACTGCTAATTCTTATAAACCACCCATATGAGGAACACTTTGGGGAATAAACTGCCAATTAATGCCTTGAATAGCGTACGTCTGAACAATTTTAGTTGATACTTGTTTAATAAAATCCACACACTTTTTTCCAGTGTAGGTTTTGCCGTTATCGCTAATTTTTCAGATTGCCACATAGCCTTTCATTATAGTGGGCGACCTTAGCATAAACGCCTTTATCTGAAAAGGCCCTCAATATCGATGCCTGTAATTGTGAAAGGCAGAGTGAAGTTGCAGCATTCCGGTGGAAGTGCTGCCATAATCTGCGAACGCAACTTCTGATTATGTATAGTGCAGATCTTGCAGGTGAAAATGCATTTTTTGATTTGGGGCTTTATTCGGGTTATATGGCGGCTGAAGTAGGGCATTTGAGTTGATGTTATTAGAGCGAACTCCCTTAACTTTAATTTTAAGTCGCTCTATGAACTTTAACATATAGGCGACTACTCTGAGGGCTCGGGAGAACGATGAAAATCGCTCAAGGATGTCAGTATTCTGATTTTTGTGGGGCAATTATATTTCGCATGGGCAATTGTGCCCAAGAACCGAGAGATTATGTTAGCCATCAAACCAGAGATACAATCTGTATTTATTCATGTTTATCATGGAAGCTAATTTTGCGAGTAGTAGCGCACCACAGAGCTCAGGTCGAAATAGACTTAGCATTTTTAAAGGAGCCACCTTTGCTTTTGCTCCTAATAAGTGAGCGTGAGCACATAGATAGTGGCACAATATGCCTTCTTAGAGGCATCAAAGAAGCCGTGTAATTCGACTTTGGGTTCGGGGAGAAAGATTATCCATCGTGGGATATGGATTTGGGAAATGTCTTCCAGATTCTTTGCGAATTGGGACCATTTTTCTAAGCAAAGAGGTTTCACTTATTCGTCCCAGTCGGTTCCGCCGGTGGATAATGCTGATACTGACTGAAAACTAGTCAGATATAGCATTAGATTGGATCCCAGAGTTTTTGTTGCACTTTCCTTTCCGAATCTAAGGAATTTGGTGTCCACCAAATTTTCCTATGGTGTATTTTTTACTACTATACATATATGGGTGACTTGCAGTAATTTTTTTTAATAGAAACCATGTTTTGAAGGCTGATATAACCTGTGATAAGGATTCGTATGGTTTGCGGGCACTGTGACTTCCAGACACGATATCGTCTAGATACGTTTGTGTTTTTAACATCTGGGTTGACAGGGGAAATTCTGACTTTTTTTTGTCTGCCAATTCGTGGAGTGTTCGAAAGGCTAAATATGGAGCACAGTTGACGCCAAAGTTAACTGTTTTTAATTTATAGTCGCGTAGTGGACTATTGAAGATTTTCGGAAAAAAAATTTACTGAAAATCTTGGTCGTCTTTATGTACGACTATTTGTCGATACATTTGCTCAATGTGAATACGTGACAAATATAGGCCAATTTAATATGCGGAGCATTAAATCTGGTTGGAGTGAGGGTCCCGTAAATAAATATCATTCAGGCAATTTCCTGAGCTAGTTGATCTTGAGGCATTGAAGACCACTCTGACTTTATTTGTTTTTTATCTGGCTTTACTACTGCGTAATGAAGTAAGTAAAATGAGTAGTATTTACCGTTCGCATGCGCTTACTTCCTCCACGTGGTCTAAATCGAGGTATTCTTGTAAAACGCCTTCGTATTCTGGTTTAAGCTCACCTTATTTATGTAAGTTTTTTCCATACATTAATTGTACTGAATCGGCGAAGATGAAAATCGAGTGCAGTATCGCTTTAAGCTGTGACTCTCGGAAATAAATTTGGTGTATGAGGTATTTTCACCCTTTTTTGCTTGGTGACACTTTGCTTTGAGCGTGTAGCTTCTGCAGGTGTACATGGACTTTTTCGTCAGAAATCGTCTTTGGAACTTTAAGCAACTGAGTTATTTTAGAATATTTCAAATCTGATCTTATTTAAAAAATGTGTTGAATTAAATAAAAAGTTTCTCGGGTACACTGATGAAATTTCAAAAATATTCTCGGACTTGGTACCGTAAGGTAATGCAGATGGAATAATCGGACCACTGCCACGCCCGCAAAACGAAATTTATCAAAAACAAATAAATTGCCATAACTAAGCTACACAATCAGATACAAGACTGTTAGTTGGTATGCAGGATAACGATAGGAAGCGGCATCTGCATTTTAAAACGTTTGTTACGAACGATATGGCAGCATGATTGACGTAATCCTCGTAAGTCCTACTTGCTTACGTATGAACTGACGTGGCGCGTTCTGATTGGTCCAATAAGCGAAACGGGAGCAATTAGAAAAATTAGGACAGTAGGCAATGGGATAAACGGGAGCCGATCTTGCATTCGCATGACAACTTTCAGAGGGTAGAGTACAGAGTAAATTTTTTAATTTCTTTAAATAATTTCTTCAAATAATTTCTTTAAATAATAAATATTAAATATCTCAGTAAATTGCAAAAAATTCTCGCATATTTTTTTAACATCTTAAAAAATTTACTCTACCCTCATCGCGCACTACATATAAACGAAAATTATAATGTCGCGCGCGAATAATTTGGATTCATCTAGTGCACCTGCTAATTTCGTTCTTGGGTCTAATTTCGCTGCAGCCAGCAATTTCACTACTTCAACCAGCTTTCCAATAGTGAACAATCCAGAAGATAATAGTGTTACTGATCGAGCTGCTAATCAGCGAATTCCTGTGACACACGCTGAAAGTTCGAACGCAGGCGTATCAAATGCAGCTCCTCCAAATGCCAATAGGGTGTATACGGCATCACCCCAAGCAGTACATCTTCAAGAAAGCCAACTCATAAGTCCTGTTCACTCTGGAAATTCCATTAGTACACTAGGGCTTCGTCGTCGCGCCGAATTGCTACAGGAGCAAAGCGAAATCCTACGACAGAGGGAGGCTTTATTAAGGGAACAGCACAGCTTTTTGGATCGCATAGATGCAATGGGCTTTGATGATGACCTCGACGAAAGGCAATACACAATGCCTAGGATCTCCAATGGGTTAAGGGATCATGTGCCTCTCCCATCCCAGATACTGCAGCTACCGCCACAATTTGTAGCACCATTTACTAGAACAGCGCCTGTTGTAAATGGTATTACTAATAGTGGGCCCTCACTACATAACAATATTCCAACCGGAATATCAATTGGTCAGCAAGGTGAAACTGATATGCAGGCACCGGTCCTTCAATCCTTATTGGACCGAATACAGTCACTTGAACAACAGTTGCGACGGAACTCGACGCTCTATCCGGAGACTGCTCTGCCACAACCAGCACATACAACTTTTCCGACAGCTGGACACGCTAACAGCTTGTCCTTTGGTGCTTCAGCTTATCGCCGATTGACTCGGGATCAAGTTGCTTCTCGTAACAGCCTTGCTAAAGAATTACCCAAATATGATGGTAAACCCAGCGAGTGGCCGTTGTTTTATGCCGCTTATATGCAAACTACGGAGGTTTGCGGATTCTCCGACGAAGAGAATCTGTTAAGACTACGACAGGCATTGGAAGATCCAGCGCGAAAGGCTGTTAAAAATTTGCTATTGCATTCATCATGCGTCAATCAAATTATGGCCACACTTAAAATGAGATTTGGTAGACCAGAATTGATCATCAGTGTTCTGCAACGCCAAATTTGTGAACTACCGTCTCCATCAGAGAGCCATCTGGAATCTATAGTCGACTTTGCAGTAGAAGTGCAAAACATCTGTGCAACGATGTCAGTATCAGGTCTGACTAGTCATTTGAACAATCCCGAATTTGAACAGCGGTTGGTTTCAAAACTACCTGGGCTTCTCCCAGCATATTGGGGAATGCATAAGCAGAGCTTGGCAGTATGTAATTTACAAAACTTCAGTGATTGGCTTTTTCAGTTGGATTGCATTCTCGTTCCAAAGGAACCAATACGAGAGCGCAAACGAGGGGCGATTAATCATCATTTTGGTCCGGTAAGATGTATCGTTTGCGATGAAAGTTGTAGCGAAGTCTCTAATTGTACCTCTTTCAAGGTTTTGCCACGAAGTGAAAGGTGGCAAGTTGTTCGTAAACTAAAGCTATGTTGTCGATGTTTGAAAAGGCATTCGATGAATAGATGTAATTTGGCTAAACCTTGCAGCGTTAACGGATGCACACGCAGTCATCATCCACTTTTACACAAATCTGAATGCGCCGAAATTGAAGCTGAGAAAACGTCAAACAATGTCAATATGGTATCTAGAGAGCATTCCGCCAACATCAATACGCATATTGCAACCGGAGCAAGCACAATGTTTCGAATACTACCAGTAGTTTTACACTCTGGTCATGGTAGTGTATCAACATACGCTTTCATAGATGATGGTTCGTCTCTTACGCTCATTGACGAAGAGCTCTTAAAACAGCTTAATGTAAGAGGAACACCGCAACCACTCTGCCTACGTTGGACTGGTGATACACATCGGTATGAGAATGAGTCTGTTGTAGCCGACCTAACCATATCGGCTATCAGCGGGCATAGACAATTTGCTCTTAAGGGTGTTCGCTCCGTCAAGAAACTTCGGTTGCCTACGCAATCGCTTGATGCCGACAAACTACGACTACGTTTCAAACATTTGAAAGGGCTGCCATTGCAGTCCTATTCAAACGTCACTCCACAACTGCTTATAGGCTTAAATAACGCGGCACTTGGATCTCCAATAAAATCCCTATATGGAGGAGAAAATGACCCAATAGCAGAAAGGTCTAAATTGGGATGGACCTTGAAAGGGTTGATGCCTAAAGCCGGTACCGATCCCATACACTACGTTTACCACACCTGTGATTGCTCTGTCCAAGCTGAACTGCTTGAAATTACCAAAGCGTACATTTGCCTCGACAACTTAGGTGTGTCAACCAAACCTGTTGCCTTAATGTCTAAGGAGGATGAGGTCGCTTTGGAGCAACTACAAAGGTACACCGTCCGCATTGGAAGTCGTTTTGTGACCAGTTTATTGTGGAAGCATCCGGACATTGAGATTCCCGATAGTCTGTCAATGGCCTTATTTCGGGCGAACTGTCTAAGGAAAAAGATGCAACGAGACCACGTCCTGGCTGAAACTCTTCACAAAAAGATCCTAGATTATAGGCAAAAGGGGTATATAAGACGTTTGAGACCCTCTGATTCTGCCATCAAAAAATATTGGTATTTGCCAATTTTTGCAGTAAGCAATCCCAACAAACCAGGAAAGGTTAGATTAGTCTGGGACGCAGCAGCCAAGGTAAATGGAGTGTCCCTAAACAGCATGCTGCTGAAAGGTCCAGACCTTACAACGCCTCTACACTCAGTGCTCTTTAAGTTTCGACAAAAGCGAATTGCTGTAACAGCCGATATAGCTGAAATGTTTCACCAAGTTCGGGTACGACAAGAAGACCAAAACTTCCTACGCTTTCTTTGGTATGAACCAAACGCCAATGAGCCTACTACATTCGCAATGACAGTGATGACGTTTGGGGCGACATGTTCACCAAGCTGCGCTCAGTACGTAAAAAATAAGAATGCAAAGGATTTTGAAGAGGAATTTCCTTGTGCTTCAAAGTGCATAATCGAAAATCATTACGTAGACGATATGTTGGTAAGTGTGGATACCGAAGAGGAGGCAATTAAATTAGCTCAAGACGTGCGTCATGTTCATGCACTTGGAGGCTTTCATTTAAGACATTTTTTGTCCAACTCGAATCGAGTATTGGTTGCCCTGAATGAGGATCCGCTTGATGAGCTATCTCTTGATCTTGAACGTGAGCTGCCTACTGAGAAGGTTTTAGGTATGTGGTGGATGACGTCCACTGACCATTTCGCATTTCGCGTGTCCGCTAAGTATAGAGATTCGGACATATTTCTCCATCAACGGCGGCCTACTAAGCGCGAGGTGTTGAGTTTGGTTATGACTATTTACGATCCTCTTGGACTCATCAGTTTTTACGTGATATACGCTAAGGTTATTCTACAAGAGATATGGAGAGCTGGATGTGACTGGGATGTTCCAATACCAGATGACCAATTTACCAAGTGGATAAGGTGGCTAAAACTAATTCCGAAAATAGAGAGCCTAAGAATTCCAAGATGCTATATGCGAACTCTGTTTGCCGGAGTTCCACAAATAGTATTACATACATTTGTTGATGCAAGTGAAAGCAGCTACGCAGCAGTGTGTTACCTCCGATACTCGTATGGCGATGCGGTTAACTGTACAATGATCGCAAGCAAAACAAGGGTAGCCCCACTGAAGCTAGTATCCATACCGCGTTTAGAACTGAAAGCAGCACTTCTAGGCGCCCGCCTTGCCAAACATATTATCGAATCGCATTCTGTGCACGTTGATAAATGCGTTTATTGGTCTGATTCACGAACGGTATTAGCGTGGCTACGATCCGATCACCGCCGCTACAAACAGTTCGTGGCCTTCCGAGTTAGTGAAATTCTAGAGATGACCGACGTCAAGGAATGGCACTGGGTTCCAACTGAGGAAAACGTTGCTGATGAAGCTACGAAGTGGAATGGTGATCCAGACTTTTGTAACGACAGTCGATGGTTTAGAGGACCTTCATTCTTGTACCTTTCGCCTGACAAGTGGCTTTTGTCTGACGAATTGCAATGTATTGCAACTGAAGAACTGCGCCCACAGTTTACTTGTTTTCATCACCACATCTCAGAACAGCTTCAGGTAGTACCGCAACCATTAAGATTTTCCACTTGGAACCGTCTACTTCGTGCAACAGCTAGGACAATATACTGTGCTCGGATCTGGCTAAGCAATATTCGAGATAATCAAGTTGTTGGTGATGGACCAACAACTGAAGATTTTCGTAGAGCGGAACGTAATCTGTGGAGAAGGGCCCAACACGACAACTTTGGAGACTTAATAGTCTCTTTAGAATCTGGAAAGCCAGTTGACAAATCCAGCAATATTTTCAAGCTATCACCTTATCTGGATGACTACGGCGTTTTGAGAATAAATGGTCGAGTTAAGATAACAGGGCGACCAGATCAAGTATTATTACCCTCGAATCACCATGTTACGTTTCTAATCATAAACCACTTCCATGTAAAGTATCATCATGGAAATTTGGAAACAGTGGTCAACGAAATAAGGCAATCCTATTGGATTATAAAACTACGCACAGTGACTAATAAGATTCGACGCAGTTGTCAGTATTGTAAAAACAGAACATCCAAACCTCGACCACCTATGATGGCCTCTCTGCCCCCATCCCGTACTTCATCATTTATTCGACCGTTTTCCTACGTAGGTGTTGACTACTTTGGGCCACTCCTGGTCGCGGTTAAGAGAAGTACCGAGAAGAGATACGGAGTATTGTTTACCTGCTTAACAACCAGAGCGGTGCATCTTGAAGTCGCCTACTCGCTTTCAACAGACTCCTGCATTCTAGCTATACGTAATTTTATGGCCCGCCGAGGCAGTCCGTTAGAAATATGGAGTGATAACGGCACCAACTTCAAAGGTGCTGAAAAGGAGTTGAGGTTAGCATTTGAACTGTTAGATAAAAATTATATAACAAGAACCTTTACTTCTGCTGCTACCAACTGGCGTTTTATACTACCCGCTTCGCCACATATGGGTGGAGCGTGGGAGCGGTTAGTTCGGTCAGTAAAGCAAGTGCTTAAACAAATCTTGACAACTAGCCGTCCCAGTGACGAACTCCTTCGAGCAGTTTTAATGGAAGTGGAAATGACGGTTAACTCACGGCCTTTAACTTATATCCCCATCGACCACGAAGAGGAAGAGGCACTCACTCCTAACCACTTCTTGTTAGGTAGCTCCAGTGGTGTTAAGCCAATCGCGGAACCAGTTGCTGAGAACGTTTTATTGCGTCGTAATTGGCAAACATCACAGCAACTAGCAAACGCATTCTGGAGACGTTGGATATTAGAGTACCTCCCCACAATAACCATGCGAAGCAAATGGTTTACAGATGTAAAGCCCATCGAAGTCGGTGATATCGCGTACATAGTGGACCCTAGTAACCCACGAAACTGCTGGCCTAAAGGCAAAGTGATCCAAGTACGAAAGAGTGATGATGGGAAAGTCAGAAGCGCTACCCTGAAGACAACCTGTGGCATCTTTGAGAGACCTGCCGCCAAAATAGCAGTCCTAGATGTGATTAATTCGGTACATCCAGATCAGCAGGATATACCGGGGGGGAGTGTTACGAACGATATGGCAGCATGATTGACGTAATCCTCGTAAGTCCTACTTGCTTACGTATGAACTGACGTGGCGCGTTCTGATTGGTCCAATAAGCGAAACGGGAGCAATTAGAAAAATTAGGACAGTAGGCAATGGGATAAACGGGAGCCGATCTTGCATTCGCATGACAACTTTCAGAGGGTAGAGTACAGAGTAAATTTTTTAATTTCTTTAAATAATTTCTTCAAATAATTTCTTTAAATAATAAATATTAAATATCTCAGTAAATTGCAAAAAATTCTCGCATATTTTTTTAACAACGTTAATAAAAAGTGTTCGTGGTCCCGCCCTTAATAGCTTTAATGTACATATCTCCTAAGCCGCTAAGACTTTATATTAACATAATTCACTGAAAACAAATGTTTTTAGCACCTCTATTGACAGTGTGAAGATGGGTGAAATCAGGTGACAACAAATCGAGCTAAAACTCATCAAGCCCCTAGGTACTGAATATGTGGACCCCAGTGCCTATAGTTGAATTTTTACCGAAAATAGCAGTCAATGTGTAAAATATTGTATATAATTAAAATTCATATAATAAAATAAATAAATGAAACTCTTGACAATAGGATGTTTTTGTGTCAAATTTTTTTCATTGTCAAAAAACGTCCTCAAAAAGTTGTAATGCATTTTATATAAAATCAGTTATATGCGTATACAACAAAACACAAGAACGATTTCTAATGAATAAATATAGTATACAAATTGCTCTAATTAGCCTAACTGTGAATGTAAACAACAGCCTACTTCTAATTATTAAAATATATAAAGAAATCTCAAACGAGTGCACCATTTGACTTTGCGAGAGTATAAAAAGTTCGGTTACATTCCAACTTAACCCTTCCTTACTTGTTATGATAGTTGTAAAACACTGCTCCTTTTATGTATTGTATATATGTTTGCGTCACTCCACACTTTACTCACTTTCTTCTTTTTTTCGTTGAAATTAACTTTATTGACAATTTTTTTTTTCTATGTATATATATTATATGTATGTCTGTTGATCCACTGCTTATCACATTTATTCACTTGTTATATATAGATATTTTTGTTTGTGTACGTTAAGCCACTTCACAGCTCTTGGGCAGTTCGTTTTGATAGTTGGGTAGTGCAGAGTTGTGGTGTTTTTGTTTTTTTTTTGTACATATTAAACCCTGAACTCCGTCACCTGCAGCTTTGGTGAAAGACCCTGCGGTACCGCTATTAGGCATTTTATCGCAGGGTCAGTTTAGCCTCTCGGTTCACGTAATTTATTTGCTGTTCGCGGCTCAAGCTTCACTGCTTCTCTGTCGTTCGGCTGTTCTCAGCTCTTGGAGTATCAGAGCTGTCGTCTTTTCCATAATGGGCAGTGAAAAAAGATATGCTTTGCATTTTTACTACAGCTACCACAAAAGGAGCAAACGACTCCCTTGTCATGTCCGTACTTCATGTGATACCATACGAAATGCACTGACGGTTCTGTTGACACTCAGCCGTCATACCGTTTCTACCACTCTGGTATATGTTTTTTGCATTAATGCTGTCCCCATACAGGTACGACATATATTATGATTGACTCGCTAGCTTTAGCCAGGAGCGCTCTGCTGCTCTGTTTTGGTCCTCCAATGTTGGCCATTATTCTGTTTAAAGCCGTATTCACACGGGCGGCTTTTTCGCAGACTTTCTCGATATGGACTTTATAAGACTATATATGGACTAAATAGTCTAGCGTCTATCATTACACCCTGATACTTCAACGATATTTGTGTCGTGATTTTATGCTCATCTATGCTAAAAGAAATCGTCTCCAGTTTTTTCCTGCTTGTAATAAGCACTGCCTCAGTTTTTTAATCAGCAAGTTGAAGTTTTGTGCTTTATCTGTTGTACTGTGTCACTAAATATATTTTCGATTTGGTTCTTTAGCTACTACTGTCACTGCAATGTCGTCGGCATATCCGATTATCTTTACTTCTTTAGGCAAAGGGAGACGCAGTATACCATCATACAGTACGATACACAGGATTGAACCCAATACGGGGCCTTGTGGCACTCTATCCGTGACTTTATACTTTTTTGGTCCATCTTCTGTTTCATAGAGCAGCAGCTTGTCAGATAAGTAGCTCTTTATGATTTTTAACAAATAAGATGGTGTTCTCTTGGTCTCTAGAGCTTGCAGTATATGGAGCCAGCTGGTCGAACTAAACGCGTTTTTACATCGAAAGTAATGACAGCGCAGTATTGCTTTTTGCCGTACATCCACGTATCTCCTTCAATAGCTCTTTCTGCTAGAAGGTAGATTAGTCGCTCCAGGTTTGGCCATTGGCCGGTTCCCCTACCGGTTTGTTCGTCTTCTGCAGTAGTACGAGCCGTTGAATTTTCCATATCTTTAGTAAGACACCTTCTCGCAAGCATCGTGTATATAACGCCCTGAATGGCTTTGTGTTGAGTTTTACTGCGAGTTTCAGAGCCCTGTTCGGAATACTATCCAGTCCTGGCGCTTTAGAATTTCCGAACCGCTCCACATCTTGTAGCACTTCCATATCATTGACCTCTTGCGCATCTGTTGCTTCTGGCTCTTCAAGACGTAGAACTTCACATTCTTGGTTTTGCTTAGGAAACAGCGTTTTAACTACCTTATGGAGTAATGAGGGATAGGTAAATGCTTTTCCTTTGCCCCCTCCAATCTTTGACATTACGATTTTATATGCTTCGCTTGAGCGGTTCTCGTCTACTTTGTCAAATAGAGCTTTAAAGCAGGCATTTTTGCTTTGTTTTATCGCCTTTTTGAGCTTTCTTCGTTTATTCTTGAAAATGTCACGGAGTACCGTATATTCCCCTCTTCCTTTGCTCCGCTGACATAGACGCCGTGCTTTGTGGCAATCGCTTCTCATTATTTCGATTTCACTGTTCCACCAATATGCCGGCTTTCTCCGAGCAGTGTGTTTCTTTTTGATCATGGCGGCATCGCAAGCTTTAGTAATGTGATGAACCAAAAGTTTGGCCTGCTGGTCTACGTCATTAGTTTCATTGAAGTTTTCGTCAAGCCTAAATTGAAAAAGATCCTCGTCCAGTGTTTCGATCTTCCACCCTTTGGCCTGCACATTTTGTTAGCAGAGGTTTTTTCTTGGCCGTTCCATGTCCTTGTTGATATTTATCATTATGGCTAGGTGATCACTCTGGGTATATGTATCGTACACCCGCCAGTCTGTTGATCGAAATAATGATCTGCTGGCAAAAGATATATCAATAATAGGGCCATGTCCATTCTTCTCAAAAGTATTTTGTGTCCCTGTGTTCAACAGTACAACGTCTAGCAGGCCGAAGGCTTTGAGCAATGTACTGCCTCTCTGGTAAGTGGGGAGGCGTAAATCATATAGCCACCATTATCATTCTCATTTTCGATGCATAAAATTAAGAATGATGAAGCGATTTTTAGTTAAATGTCTGTAATGTAAAAAAAAGTTTCACCTTTACCGTGGTTTCATAAAACCGCACAATCCTTTTTTTTCTTATTGTTATTTATTTATTTATATGTAAGTTAACACATAAGAAATGCACTGCACTTATCTTACCCATTTGCTCCAAACACATTCCGCTGACGCTGAGTATGGGTCCAACTTTTAGGTTTAGCTTTATATTAAATTTGGAAATATAATCAGTTTGTAATTTGACTCTCAATAAAGTCATTAACTTACACAACGCTTAGAATTGTGTAAAGCAATAAAGAATAATAATTCATTAACTACACAACATTTGAAATTGTGTAAAGCAATAAAAGATAATATTTTCTTAACTACACAACGTGTTAAATTTTGTTAAGCAATAAACGATACTATTTCATCAACTACACAATGTTTGGAATTGTGTGAAGCAAAAAAGGATAATATCTCATTAACTGGCATCCAACATACAAGGATTCTCACCCTAGTTAGAGTAACTCTATTTTCCACACCATGTAAGTTCGTTTAAGATTGTCTCTGAATTTCTTGCATCAATTATTTATTAACTACTAACAGCAACAGATATGATTGTGAAATATCGAGTTATCTTATTAACAAAATATATATGTTTTGTGTCAGCTCAAATAATTATTTCATAAAAAACAAATCCATTCTTAAACAAATTCAAGCCGCTGCTAAGAATTTGTTTTATAAACACGAGCACATGAGTTGGATAGACGCGTTACGGAATATAAAAACCGTATGCGACAGTGATATTGAGTGCGACATAGAAAACGACGATAGCCAAGTACTGAACCTAGAAACCGGCATTAGCCAAGTCCCAAACTAAACGAATTTCACCATTGACGTAAACCAAGTTCAACCATTAGTAGTGACCGTTGTTAGCGAAGCATTAGCGCAGTAAGAAAAAAGATTTTAAACTCAGCTTAACGCTACGAATGAGCGGGTAAATAATTTGAGTATCGAAGTACCAAAAGTTGATCCCTATAAAAGAATTTCTGTGGACCCACAGATCAATTGTAATATTCCACTGGACATAGAAAAATCAGTCCCAAAATTTAATGGCGGGTCAGATGAATACTACGCATGGAGGCAATCAGCTGTTGATGTGTAAAAATTATTCAAACCTTTTGACGGTAGCTGCACGCATTACCAAGCGGTAACAATCATTAAAAATAAATAAGGGAATCTAGGAAAGGTAAAGTTTTTCACAACCCTAGATATGAAGTCGGGGTACCACCAAATTTACTTAGCAGAACAGGACCGCGAAAAACGTCGTTCTCGGTAAATGGTGGAAAAGACGAGTTTTGTCATCTACATTTGGATTGAAAAATGCAGGAAGTGGAAATGTGTAAAACAATAAAGGATAATATCTCATTAATTATACAAAGTTTGGAATTGTGTGAAGCAATAAAGGATATTATCTCATTAACTTGTATAAATATATTTTAATAACTCGTGATTTATATACCGAACCGTTTAATTTTTTTCCGAATGCGTTTTTAGAAATTAATTAACTTTTAGTGGTACTACCCTACTAGGTATAATGTTATGTCCCGTATGTAATTGTATATACTTGTAAGTGTAAATGTAAGCGTCGCACGTTAGTTCTCAGTCAAGAGACAGCGGGTAAACGGTATTGGAAACAAAATATACCATTAATTTGTTTTCCGATTCCGTTTACGCGCTCTCTCTTGACTGAAAAATAACGTGCGACGCTTACATTTATACTTATATGTACTTTGATTCGTAATTGTGCACTATCGGTATATCAAGAAAACATCTAAGTATGTATGAGAGTAAAATATATTGG